TTTTTCTTTTTTTCTTTTTTTTTTTTTTTTTGGTAATACTGAGGATTGAACCCAAGGTCTGAAGCATGCTAATAAGCAAGTGCTCTACCATTTGAGCCACACTTCCAGCTTTTTTTGTTTGTTTATTTATTCATTCATTCATTTTTTTGGTACTACTGGGATTTGAACTCAGGGCATCATCATGCTCGCTAGGCAAGTGCTCTTATCACTTGAGCCACTCCACCAGCCCAGTGATGCTGCTCTGTGAAGCTCTTTGAATGTCACGGCTTACATTGAGCTCACCCCTGTGAAGTGTTCCTGGACACCCTAACACCACTGCATTCTGAATCAATGATTTTTTCCCCGACTCATTGTGGTGCCCTGCTCTTTTCTCTCCAGCATGCCTTTGCCCTGAGCTTTGTCCAACAAGGCTGCAATAGTTCTTAAAGCTGAGACCAAGTGTGTTTCACTGGGGTCCCCTTTCACCCCAAACCAGGCCTGATGCATCAGAGATAGGACTAAAGAGCAGACAAACAAAAATATTGGAAGGTTTTAATTATTAGCAACAAGTATATACAATGAAACAAGCAGACACCTGCTTTTTACTGCATCTATTTTGAGAAACGGAAATGTTGACATTGCAAAGTATGAAGGAAAGGGGAATTGGAGAGGATGTGCTGACTCTGAATTCATAGGAACCTGTGAACTTCACTGGATTCCTTGTATTTTCTTGTGCGCTTTTTTTTGCAGTTTTGTCCTCGTGCATAGTGTCCCCAGAGGCCTGGGGCCCTGGTACCTGGCATGATTCATTCCCAAAGTCTGACTTAGGCTTAATCTCTTTACTTATGTGAACTCTGGGTCAGAAAGAAGGTCTCTACTTATATCCAGTTATCCAAAGAAAATCATTTGGGTTGCTATAGCTTGTTCTTGTATGTGAAATGTTAAATTTTCCTTAAAGATGTTATCTTGAAAATAGCATTTTAGGTTAGGGAAAAGTATTTTCTGTTTGTTCCTTTGTTTTATTAGGGCAAGGAGAGTAGTAATTGAGGAAACATGGACCAATAGTTTCGCTAATACTAAAATCAAGGTTACAATTATGAAATGAGTTATGGTTACAGGATACAGGTGACAGTGACAGAGGAATGTGGACCACATCTGTAACATTACCCAGCTTACCTAGCATGACTTTCCTTAGAGGCCCCTTCTCACACTATTTGGAAGTCTATATTAACTAAGGAAGGGTTAAGCCAAGAAGGCTTGGTGGCTTTGTGCTGATTCTGGAGCCTGGAGCCATAGTCATGGATGGAAAAACACCTGGGAGAGTAGGTGGGGCTTTCCCTAATTCATCTTCATGGCCAGTGAGTATGTCATGTCTTTCCTGGTAGCATTTGGAAATGGTTTACTGGAATGAGAAAACCTGTTCTTCCTTTAAATTTCAACTTTGGCTCTGGCTGAACAATGCAGTATAACAATGCAATATAAAATCATACCAGTGGGCTGGGGTCGAAGCCCACTGGTATTAAGCAGAGTGAATGGTTTCTGGGCTTCTGATACTGTCTCTCCAGTGAAATAACTACTTCTCTATTACTGTATTTATTTTTTTGGTGGTACTAGCATTTGAACTCAGGGCCTCATGCTTGCTAGGCAAACACTCTACCACTTGAGCCACTCTGCAAATCCTTTTTGGTGCTGGGTATTTACGAGATAGGGTCTTGTGAACTATTTGCCTTGGCTGCTGGAACCTCAATCCTCCTGATGTCTGCCTCCTCAGTAGCGAGGATGACAGGTGTGAGCCGCAGGTGCCTGGCTCTGCACTACTCTGTTGATGTCATTTGCATGTCAGTGTTCTATATGGGAGCTTGAAATTTACTAACATATTGTAGGTGTTATACATTCCTATGACAAAAAAATTAAGTCGTCAAATTTTTTAAAGTTTTTTAAATTTAATTTTTCCTTTGGGGATAAAGTTTGCTTTACCAAATAGTGATCATAACAAATTAATCTGTTTTGGATGTTGTTATAGTGACATGCAGTTTTATCTATACAAAAATATAAATTTATATATAAGTAAATATAGTCATATGCCAATAAGTTTATATAAATATAAATAATATAAATATATGTATATAAATATATATATATTATAAATTATCTATATATATATAGAGAGAGAGAGCAAGAGAGAATGAACTCAGGGGACATGCTTGCTAAGTGCTCTATCACTTAAGCCACTCTATGTTCCCAGTCATTTTGTTTTTCAGGCAGGATCTCGCTGCTACCTTTGCCTAGAAGTCATATCCTCCTGCTTCCACCTCCCGAGTAGCTAGAATTACAGGCATGAACCACCACACCTGGCTTTATTTTGTTTTTAAGGTGGGGGGATTGGCGAAGATGACACCAGTGTTAGCTTAATCTTAATGTCTGGTGCTTGTCATGGGGAAATTATACATATTATAGTTAGGAAAACATTGACTGTATTCCTTGGATGAGCCTTTGTGCTTTTTGTCATGTTGTGCAGTGAACAATTTTTAAAGTCTAATCAGTGATTATTTTCTAGTACTTTCTCTAAGGAATTATTTTGCACATGGCCCATTCTGAGCAGTTTTCCCAGCTATCATGCATGTGAGTCATCACACAGCTGTCCTACAATGAACAAATAAACTTATAGATCTGATGTCAAGAACTTTGAGTTTATGATTGTTCACGGGAAATGTAATTGACTTTTAAAATGTTCATCTTATCTCCTACAGTCTTGGCAAGCACACTTATTAGCCCAATAGATTAAAAAAAATAGATTCCATGAAATCTTCTCCACTTAATGATGATGCTTGTGAATACAGTTTTACTTCTTCCTTTCTGACCCAGATACCTTCTAGTCATTTTCTTGGCTTATTGCACCTGCTAGAATCTCTAACCCAATATTGAATATAAGTGGTGTGAACAGACATTTTTGCCTTATTCCTTATTTTAAGCAAGAAAGACAAGATAGAAACGAAGCTAGCAGAATTCATAGAAAACAAATACCAAAATGGCAGACTTAAATCTACTAGCAGCAATAATGACATTAAATCTAAAGGAAATAGGCTCTTGCCATTATGTGTAATGTTAGCTGCAAAATTTTCATAAATGTCCTTTGCCAAATTGAGGAAGGTCCCTTTATTCCTAAGTTGCTTTTGGGAAAAGTATTTTTATTCAGCAGCACAGACACAAGAAAGACCCCACCTTGGACTTCTGTATAAGCCATTTTTCTCAACTTTCAATAGCAAGCTTAATGGGAATACTCAGAACCTTTCAAAGTCCAGCAAAATGTAGCTACACATGGAAATTTGCTATAAATAACTGAAAAAAAGTATTGCTAAGAGATGACCACATTTTACCTGTTGTAATTTAGCTGCTATCATAACTGAAGGTTTGTGACTACCAGAGTCTAATATTAAGTGATTTGATTGTCGATGTGTTGGGATTAAAATTTTAACACTGCAACGATTATATTTGTAGAACTGTCTTAACATTAAGGACCTGTTCACTGTTGTGGTTTCCTTAATAACGTCCCTTTTGAAAAGTGATTGCCTGTGCTTCACTAATTTCTATAACCAAGCTGGAGTGGAATCCAAAAGAAAAGGTAATGTTTCAATTGTGCTCAGTATGATTGTTCAACCTGATTCTGTGAGATCGTGGTTAGGCCAATCCTAGGGAGGTCATTGTCATTTCTTTAGAACAAGTTGCAAAATAGAGACTAAAGATGGCATATTATCAACTCACTATCCAGTGATTTGGCAGTGTGTCCTAATAAGCTTCAAAAGACAAAATTATAACAAATTTAATTATAGATCTAATTGAGTTTCATTTACAATTCATGAATCTGTGGCAGCCTCTATTCTACAGTAGAAAAGAGGGCTTCACAGGACAAGGGGAGATAGTAGGTTTTGTAGGGGGGGAGCAAAGAAACAGAATGAAGAAAAAATGATTTGCTAGCATCAGATTACTTCACATTACTTTTTAAAGGCTAAAACAGAAGGGATTTCTTTACATGGATTCATGTATACTAGAATGTCCTGTTTTCAGAAAAACTAGTCAATTTTTGGATCCACCTGCATAAACTTTCAGTTTGATGAGTGGCTCCATTTTGGCTTGGTCTGTTCTGTTGGAGCCTAGTGCAAGAGCTCAGTCTAAAACATGGTTTTTGTTTAACAATGGTGATCAGGGTAATCCAGTGCTTCCTGGGATTATGTTCAAAATTTTGAATTCCTCATTTCTTTCTTAAACACCTCAATCATCCATGCTTAGTAAAAGAGTTGGTCACTTAAGGATAGGGGCTACACGAGGAGGTCAGAGTCAGTGAAGCCTTAAGCAGCGGGGGTAAACCAAACTCCAGTGTAGGGGACAGTTTGTTTACAGAGAGAGTGAGTACTAAATGTAGTTAGGGAGAACTTTGTGAGGAACAGTGGCCTTAAGAGGCAGTCAGAGAGGTTCATATTTGATGTAAGTGACCAAAGTAAGACTTTGAAGACTTGAACAGGAAAGTTAATTGATGGAGTGTTGTCAGATGAGTATTAGGACTGAAGACAGAGCTTGGCAGTAGGAGGACAGGAATAAGACAGTTCTAGTTAAGATTCAAACCAAGATTGAGAGGAAGGGGGAAAATATTTCATGGGTAGTGGCAAGTAATTGGATTGAGAATGAAGAGATATGGTGAATCACAGATGACTTACAAATCTTTCTCTAGGATGAACCAAAAACTTTATTCCCGTGATCAGAGATAAGGCCTCTAACATGGGTGAGCGATTGTACAGGTGAACGGATGTAAATGAGTTTGGTATGGAAATCATTGAGTCGGAGGCTACAGGGAGACATCTAGAAGTAGTGTTGAGGTAGAAATTTGTGGCTAGATCTCCACTAGGATTGAGAGCCATAAGAGCACAGGTTAGAGGGACTGGTAATTTCCTGCCCAAACATCAGAACCCATGGAGCTGGGATCATCAATGCAATGAGATACTGGTGCAGGTGGTTCTCCTGCACATTCCAGGAGAATGAATGTGCAGGAGTGAAAAGAATGAGAGAACAGGGTGGGAATGTTTTCAAGAGGCAGGTGGAAGATTATCTCCAGGAGAAAAAGAAGTAAAGTAAAGAGACATGTACCAACAAGAAGAGGCAGGGTGGGGCAGTAGAGTGGCTTTATTGACCAAGGCTCTGCCACAGGCAAAACTGGACTAGAGTTGCTGGAGGGAAGGGTGGCTGCAGTATGGGGGGTCCATAAGGAAGCCTATAGTTCAGTGGAGCAAACAGCTGGCTGTCAGCTGCCAAATAGAATACTTTAAAGAGTAAAAGAAAATTCTGAACCAAAGTTCAAACAACATATTGTTAAAATGCAGAAGCAACAGCAATTGATTCTCACAATGGAATGAAAGAAAGTATTATCCCAGAAACCAAGGGAAGGGCAGTTTCCAAGGGAAAGGGAAATGGTTAACCATGGCAAATGTAGCTGAACAGTCTTTGGAAATGGGGTCCCTGAATTTGGGTAATAAGGGAATCACTGATGTTTTTCGAAAAGGCAGTTTCAGTAAATTGTTCTGGTTAGAAGCCAGGTTACAAGAAGATAAGGACATGGTGAGAGGAATGGCCCACTCAGTCCTATTCTGGACTGGAGGTGAGAGGAAGAGAAGAAATAAAGTGGTAGCTAAAGGGGCCAGAGGGTCAGAGCAAGGATTTTCTGAAATGGAAGATTCTGGCACTTGATAGAAGCTGCTGAGACAAAGGAGAGACTGAAGATGGTGAAGAAGAGAAAGACTCAGAGAGAAGGTCAAAAAATGCTTCTTTCAAATATAATATAAAAATGGGCCAAACTAGCCAACTGGTTAGACCTAGACAAAAGGCAGGTTCTCCCCAAGTGATGGGGGAAGTAGCCCCATCTGAAGGGGGTTTGGTTCCTTCACCATTGCTGAGAACTGACAGCAAGACCTCACCCTAGAGCAGCCCAGGAGTACTTTACTCTCCAGCCACTGGGTGGCAGCCTTCAACCACAAATCAAATACAAATCAGCAGTTCAGAAGGGCTCAGTGGAGCAAATCCCCAGGCAGTTAAAAATCTGTTAACTTTCATTTTCTATCTAAAAGTATGAACAGCAGCTGAGTGTGGTAGTGCACACCTGACAGGGATGCAACCACTTCGGAGGCTGAGGCAGGAGGATTGGGGGTTCCAGGGCCGACCTAGGGTACATAATAACACTCCATCTCAAAAAAAAAAAAATATAGGAAGTACCTGGTTTTCTATTCACTGCATACATTGCTATGCCACTCTGACATTGTCTGTTTACAGTATCAGGGGCTGCAATGAAAACCATTTACATCAATTACTTGATTATAGTAAAATAGAACGATCCTTTAGGCACTACCCCAAACCTCCCAGTAATGTGAGAGCTTTCACTACATGTCCATATGCACTGACTTAGTTGGTGGGGAGGGTGAGAATTATAATGTCATCGTCTCAGCTCCAGCAGCAAGGAGGGGAGAACTTGGTCTGCACTCACACGTGTGGAGGGGAAGTTGGGACTCCTTGTTCAATGCACTTTCTTAATATGATGCTGAAGACATTTTATCTCCCCAAATTGGGTCTTGATTATTGTAAAGACATTGTCACTGTCCCAGGATAATATAGGATGGGCTGTGTACCCTGCTGCTGCTGTTTACTGCTCATGTAGGCTGGCCAAGTTCTCCCCAGCGTGACCGTGGATGAGAACAATGCGTGGACGTGAACATCTGGGGGGATTCCTGAGAGAGAGGTCTGGGAGAGGTCCATGTTCCTCCATGATCAAAGAAAAGACCTGTCGCCCTAGAACTGACCTGCAATCCAGCACCTTGTTTACTCCCACATGTAGCCTCTAGCAGAGCAAAAAGTGAAGTAGAAAAAACATGAAGCCAATATTTGAATCTACAGGTCTAATCTGGCACGTGAACTGTTAGAATGCAGACGTGCGTTTTTGACCTAGACAGAATTTAAAAATGTTTTTAAATGAATTTCCAGCATTAAAAAAAATCAGTACACATACATATGCACACACTCTCATGCATGCTCTCCCACCCCCTGCCAATACTGGAGTTTGAACTCAGGGCCTTGCATTTGCTAAGCAGCTGCTCTACCACTTAAGCCAAGTCCCCAGCCCTTTTAACTTTACTTTATAGGGTCTCACATTTTTGCCTGGGCCTGCCTGGACTGCCATCCTCCTATTTACACCTCCTGTGTACCTGGGATGACAGGTGTGCATCACCACAACCTGCTTATTGGTTGAGATGGGTCTCACTAACTTTTTGCTTGGGCTGACCTTGAACTGTGATCCTTCTGATCACATCCTGAGTAGCTGCAATCCCAGGTTTGAGCCACTGTGCCCACACGTAGGGTTTTTTTTTTTTAATTTATTCTTTTGAAGCAGCAGTGGCATATTACTTTCCATTTTGTGAAAATGGACTGAGTGGGCTGGGGATCACACCCAAGGCCCTAGGTTTAATCCCCAGCACTGCAAACAAACAAATAAATAAATAATAAAATAATTTTTTTTTAAAGGAAGAAAATGAAATGAGTTGAGGCATGAACTCCCAATCTTCTCTCTCTCTTAACAACTATCAGTTTTGGGGAGATGGGGAGAAAAAAAAACCCATCAATTTCTTCCTCCTTCCCTTCCTTTCCTTGCATATGCTAGGCTCTATCAGAGCTACATCCTCAGCCCTTAGTAGTTTCACTTATTTTTGTTAATTTTCTGGCCTTTGTAAGCAACTGAGTTTGGAAGCCCTGACTAAAGCCTCTTTAGTTCTTGGCTTCCTTTCTCACCATCTTGCCTCTAAGAAGATGCACAGATACCATGTGGATGTCTCATTACTTTCCATATTTACCTTACCAGGTTCAGTAAAACTGTTTGCTGAACTAAAATTTAGTAACAGGGAAGTAACCTTTCCTGTTATCAGGGAAACAAAACCTAGAGGGTGGTCAGCCAGCCTTGCCAAGACACACACATGCACACACACACACACACACACACACACACACACACACACTGCTCATTCTTTGGATTAACTGTAGGAGTGCCAACTAAATGCTTATGAAGAATGGCCTTCCCTTCAACTGTGGGATTCCCAGTGGCGGGGATCATAGCATGTCTTAGATGGAAAGACTTTTCTTCTGGTGAATCCAAATTTGCTTACATTCTCAGTTATTTTCTGGTTCTTACTTTTCCTTTTTTTTTTTGAAGTTATGTAGGCATAGTCTTAAAACCAGAGTGTGTGAGAGCCAGAAAGAACTTCTGGGCTAGCTGCATTCCATTACCATAGGGTAGATCTCTGACGTTCACTGACGTGACTTTGCTTTGTTATTTCCTCAAGGGTCTGGTTTATGGTCATTGAACAGCTTCCTCCACTGTGGCTTCACTGCCTTATTATTTTAGGTCGTCCTCTAAAGTGAGTTTTCTTAGGCTGACTTCTATTTCTTTGCTATTGCTGTCAGGACTATGTATATCACGTGGTGAGTGCGATCTGCGAGTGGACTGTGGCCTTTGGTTTTATTTTCTACTTTCTAACATTCATCCAAGATTTCCAGGTAGGTATTTATCAGTTCAAATGCTATGTAAATTACTGATAATTAGGATTAGTAAAACATTTACAGAAAATTTTTTGCATTTTGAAAGAACACTTCATTATTATTATTATTTTCTTTTTTTTTGCACTATTGAGGTTTGAACTCAGGGCCTCATGCTTGCTAAGCAGATGCTCTACCACTTGAGCCGAGTCCCCAGCCTTTTTTGTTTTGGTTATTTTTCGGATAGGGACTCACATTTTTCACTTTGGGCCAGCCTCAGAGTGTAATCCTGAGTAGCTGGGATGACAGGCATCAATTCCATACCTGGCCTGTTGGTTGAGATGGGATCTCAGTAACTTTTTGCCTGGGCAGGCCTCAAACTATAATTCTCCCAATGTCTGTCTCTACAGTAGTCTTTTTTTAGTCTTGATGTATTTGAAAATACATATACATTATGCAACTTTCTTTTTTAACTTGTTCCCAAAGGGAAGCATCTTTAACAGGTCACTCAACCAATGAAGATTTCATATGCCCTCTGCCATTTGATGCTCAAAGTCATGTATCCTGGCTATTTTCAAGTAGCTCTCTGTAGTTCCAAAAGGTAGAAAATGTGTCTGTAAAAAATGAAAGTATATTGTTGGAAAATGTTTCCAAGGCAGACAGAAGGCAGGACCTTAGCAGATTTAGCCACAAGGAAAATCTTACATTTTAAAACAAGTGACTGATTAGCTAAAATGATATAGAAAGCCAAGAAAATTCTTTAGGAGCCAATTCAAGTAGAGAACAAACCATAATAAGGCCATCTCTGAGGTAGGACAAAGATGCTGGGAATTTCAGTTAGCACTGGAATTTCTTCACCTCTTTGAAATCTTTTCTAAAAATGTTTTTTTTTTAGAATAAAATTAAAATATCAAATAAAATATATGATCGTTATACAGGTGATATTTTGTTCATCCTCCTCTTCACCTTTTTCCTTGATAGAGTGTCACCCTAAGGATATCAACAGAAATCAATGGTGATATTTGAAGAAAGGAGAATCCTATGTCATTCAATGAATGTCACAGACAGTTTTTAGAAGTGATACAGAGGATGGACAGGGTTTTGAGGCCATCCTGACCTGGATGCATCTGTGGCACATCCAGAACTTGAATTTCATTAAGAATTCCTGGTAGTTGTACTATCTACAAAGGTATGTTTTCTTAGAGAATGTAGGGCATTTATCACACGGTAGCAATGTTTTTATACTTTTCTAACACACTTTTTATATTAACAAATTCAAAAATGGAGAAGATAAGGCATTACAGAATATGGAGAGCTCTTATTTTTGTATAGATTTTGTCCTTGTGTGTGGATGATCTATGGAAATACGCTGTTAGGAATTTAAGTTTAATACATTTATTAATAAGTAAAATCAGGGAATATTCATTTTAAAATTTAACTTTAGAGGATAAACTGCATAACTTTTTTATCATAAGAGAATTTACAAAATTCAATTTGTAGTGGTCACATACTTAAGTCTTAAAGATTTAGATAATAAATGAACACTAAGATACCCTGTTTTTTAACTGAACAAAGTAAAATGCGTCATTGAGAGGCCTTTTCACTACTCGCCATGCACAATTAACTCTAAGTGAATGGGAAGGAAGACCTTGGTTTTGAAATTTCTCTTCCTCTCTTCTCCCTGCCCATTGGGCTGCAGCTTTCACCCTGCTGCTAATTGATGGGCCATAGTGGATGTAATTCTGAGTGGGTTGGGTTCAGCGAGGTAGATTGAAAATTATCAAATCATCCTTAATTGTGACGGGCACAACTTGATATACAGTGTGACCCAGGAGCTGAAACTCACAACTCAATTTCATTTTATGCCAGCAAATATGTCAAAAGAGCACAGGCTCAAGAGAGACAGGGAGAAAGGAAAGGGGGCAGTTGAAACCTTCAGGTGTGGGATGCTGCTTATTTGCAACTCCTTGTAATGCCTGTGGCTGAATGTTCCACAACACTTCAGGAAATGGGAGTCAGGCCCTTTGTATAAAGCAGGACCCACAGAGTCCACCTTGTCACCCAAATCACCAATGACAAGTGAACAGCAAGTTGTTCTGTGGGAACAAGTAGCCCCTGAAATATTGACAAGAAGGTACTCTCTTTGCAATACCCCTGGAATACAAACCTGGATCTGACCAAGTGGGAGCAGCTCTTGAGGTCACATCATACCAAGGACCAAGCAGCCCATTTGGACAGCTTTGGAGGGCACGAGCAGTGGGAAGCTTGAAATGTCTCCTTAGTAACTCTTTGTAGAGTGAGTGAAAGATGAGGCACACAGCAGTCCTCTACCTCTGCCATGACATCCTTCATCTCCCCTAAGTAAAGCTCAAAACCATATGTAGGTCTACTACAACTTGTCACAGTACTGTGGACCCCCGTTGTAACACTGAAACTGAAAGACAATGATTATGAAGAGGAAGAGGACCCCACTCACCTTTTCCATGGAATCCATGGTAGAATGAATCCATGGTTGTGCCTCACTTTGAGCAGACTTTTGTTATCATCACTTCTCAGGCCACAGAGACATTCTTCATTTTACATCTCTCCACACAATGAGATTGAAAGCTCACTGGACACAGATTATGTGCCTCTATTTTAGTAACGCCAGCATTTAACACAGTGCCTCTTGGTACACGACAGGTGCTTAATAACTACTCACTGCATGAATAAATGAACAAATGAAGGAACAACTAAGAATGTTTGAGGTGCTGCATAATGGGGTTTGTTTACTCTTATTTACTGGTTATTTTAATGTAAACAAATAGTCTGTGCCACCCAGTAATGTTGACTGTTTTGCTTTGTATAATGGAAGCAGTTCAGTTGTTTGGACTTCATGATTCTATGACAACTCTCTTCAGACAGTTTCCACAGAAATTGTTACATGGGCTAGATCACACGGTATACCAGTCTTGGCAAACCGAGAAGGCCAAAAATCACTCCAGACGATCACATTCTACTGGTTCCATGCAACTTGTAATATCTGCATTTTGGTATTATTTTTCATTTCTGTGAATTTACATTTCCTTGGACCTATTGGTGAAAGAGTAAAATAAAATGAAATATTTATTTAGTAATTTGTGTCTGTTATATTACAATATGTTACCTGGGCACTACTAGGAAGTGTATTTATCTGGAAGATGAGTTTAGATCCTCTTGGACTTTACAAAGGTATGGCTTCAACTTTGTTTTTTTTAATTTATGTTATTTGCATGTGGGCATGATAGATTCATCTTTTTTGTTTTCTTCTTCCGTACTGGGGATTGAACTCGGTTTTGTGCTTGCAAGGCAAGCACTCTACTGCTTGACTCATGTCTCAGTCCTTTTGCTTTAGTTTATATCTCAGATTGGGTTCAACTGTGATCCTCCTACCTCCAGCTCCTGAATAGCTGAGATCACAGGTCTATACCACCATGCCTGGCGTTTGTAGAGATTTTCAAACTGAGAATTTTATGTCAGTTAAGACTCTTAGAGTTGAAGACTTGAGAAATCCAACTTTGTTAAAGGAGAAAAGGGCCTGTATTGACTCAGGTAACTGAGAAACCCAGGAGTGAAGCTAGCATTAGGGATAGTTGAACAAAAACATGTCACCAGGACATGTTGCCCTCAGCTCCTTTCTGTTGACATCCTTCTCATTAGGGTTTTCCCTGTGGGAATGATGTCAAGAATGTCAGAGTTTCTAGACCCCTCCAGGCTTACAACCTATCCAGTGAGGAGAGAATACTTCTCTACTTCCAGCAAAAATTTAGAATTGAAACTCATTGTCTCTGATCAATCAGTCTGAGTCACATGTCCACCTCTGAAGCGGGAGAGGTCAACACCACCCAAACCATTGGGTTGATAGTGGGTAGAAGTTGTTTCTCAGGAGAAAGGTTGTAGAAAATAGACCTTGGACAGATAAAAAGCAGCAAGATTCCACCATGGAATGAAAGCCTCCTTCCTCCCCCATAAAGTTAACCTAACTTTTTTCAGAGTAAACCAAATTTACTGGTCAACAAACTTTTCAGATTAAAAAAAAAAAAAAAAAGAAATGTAAGCCATTTAGGTAATACAGATGCCTTTTGTTAACTTCTAAGCTATGTTACCATTTTTCAGGGCTCTTATGTTCTTATTTAACTTTGGAGGTTGAACAGGCTGTTAATGATTACATTTTTCAGATGAGGAAACTAATGTAAGGAAAGGTTCAGTGACCTACAAGTAGTTCTACAACCAGAGCCAGATGGCAGCAGATTCCAGTCTGGGACCCTGTTTTCCTGATTCCTAATCAACTGGGCCTTTTTTTTTTCTTTCTTTCTTTCTTTTTTATAACACTAACAGAGGATTCCACAGAAATTGCAAATTACATTTCATAAACCAAATTAAGTACATCACTGTTGTGCTGTGTTTGGGTTTCCTAACATCTCTTACATGTGGCATTGTCCCCTGTTCCCATTTTTTACTCAATTGGAGACATACTGGTCTGGTGTTTGGGCCTGGAATGAGGAAAGGAGAGTGGGAGGGAGATAAGTGGTCTCCCATTCTCTCCCACTCCCTGATTCTGGCACGCCACTGAGCCAGCCGTCTCCCCACACACATACTCTTGGTCTGGGTCTGAATGCCCCACATTCCCAAGTCCAGAATGTCATGCATCTGCATCGTGTCTGTTGCACAAGACAGCGACCACAACACCAGCCCTGGAAGAGAAGCTTCTGGCTCTCGTTGGTCACCTTCAGCGGATTCATTTCCTAAAATGAAAGGCAGGCACATATGAATAATAAAAAAAAAAAAAAAAAGAAAGGCAGCAGGACCCGAAACTTATTCTTACTGGGATGGCAATGACCTCTAAAGTCGATGCTTGAAAAATGGTGAAGGAGATACCATCAATCTGCTTGGTGGTAGAAGCTAGGGTGCTGTAAGGTGCCTGGAAAGCTGGTGACTTTAAGCAGCCCCTGTAGGCAAACAATGCTTGGTGCTACCAGCCCCAAAGCCATTTCCACCTTTGGAGTTTTCAGTTCTGTGAGTGGATAGAGTCTCTCTTGAACTTCAATAAACTCAAGTTGCATTTCTGATGTTTATATCTACAAAAGTCCTAACTGATATCAATACTCAAGGGTTCTCTCAATATGAAAATATAGTCAATTGCTATTATCTAGAGTCACAAGAGGGGGGGATGCTTTTCAGATAAGTGTGATTCTGCTTTCCCCACTTACAGCTCTTCCTTTCTCAACGTTTGTTCTTATCTAATTTTTTAATTTAATTTTTAATTAAAAAAATTTTTAATTTAATTTTAAAAATGAATAATATATTCATGATTCAAAAATCGAAGCAACATCAAGTGGTATTCTGTGAAAAGCCATTTTGCTTTCCTCTACCCACATTTACTCAATTCACTCCTCAACTCACACACAGCCACATTTAACAGATTTTTTGATCTACAGAGGATCTCACTGTGCAGCTGAGTTTGGAAAACTGGGTGAACTGTCTCATTGCCGTTGTGAAAGGCCAGGTCCTGGTTGAATTCTGGGCATTTAAGACTTGGGGATTCGGTAGTAGAAGATTTGAATGGCAGTTATGTTCTTTGGTAGGAGTTTTTAGATCAGTTCTCCTACACCCATAGCCTCTGAGTGGTCAAGGAGTCTCTGGACAATGGGGCTGGGGTTGGGGACTTTCAGGATTATTTGGGCTTTGGAGGCTATTGAATGGTGATATCTTAGGACCTCAACTCCTAGCATCTTTGCTTCTGGGTGATGTAGTAAGATGGACTGGGAGCTGTTTTCTGTTCACAAAGAAGTATCTGCTCTGAAATTCCTAAGGGAGCAGTCATGGAGGGACCAGGAGAGAGACTAGGCTGCCACCAGGCTGCCAGCCCAAAAGAAATCCTCAGCATGCACTTTAAAAATATAGTTTTAACTTTTTTTTTTTTAAGGCATGGTCTTACTATGTAGCCCAGGCTGGTCTCAAACTCTTAATCCTCCAGCTTCAGCCCTAAAGTACTGGAGTTACAGATATGCACCACCAAAAATGGCTTAACTTGTATTTTATTGTAGTAAAATACACACAACATTAAGTTGGGAGTGATGATGCACACCTGTAACCCTAGCACTTGGGAAGCTGAAGCCAGGGAATCGAGAGTTTGGGGCCAACCTGGGCTGCATAGTGAGACCCTGTCTCAAACAAAAATACATGTAACATTAAATTTATCACATTAGCCATTTTAAGTGTAAAGTTCACTGATATTTAATATTTATAATGTTGTATAATCATTGCTAATTATCCATCACCATAACTCTCTTCTTGTTGGAAAGCTGAAACTCTGTATCGATTAAATAATCATTTTCCATTCTTTCCCATTTCCCTAAAGCCCCTGGAAACCACCATTCTGCTTCCTGTCTATGATTTTGCCTAAGCACCTTATATAAGTGGAATCATAAAATAATTGTCTTTTTGTAACTGGCGTATTTTGCTCAGCACATGTCCTAAAGGTTCATCCATGTCGTAATACATGACAGGTTTCCTCTATTGTTAAATAATTAGCTCATTGTACATATATACCATATTTGCTTAGTCATTCATCTTGTCAGTGGACACTTTGGTTGCTTCCATATTTCAGCGATCATGTGCAATGCTGCTATGAACACGGGTGTACAAATAGTTCTTTTGGCTACATACTCAGAAATGGAATTGCTCTATCATATGGTAATTTTTCAGGTGCCTCCATACTGTTTTCTATAATGACTGTACCTTTTCCATTCTCACTAGTCATGTTCAAGTTTTCAATTTCCTCAGTGCTCACTAACATTTGTTATTTTCTTTTTTGGTGGCTTTTGTGATAGTAGCCTAATGGGTGTGAGGTGTTATCTCATTGTAGTTTTGACTTACATTTTTCTAATGACTCAAGGTGTTGACTATTTTTTTCCTGGTGCTTATTGGCCATTTGTATATCTTTTTTTGGAAAAATGTCTGTTCAAGTCTTTTGCTCAACATTCACTTTTGTCATATGTCCAGGTTTCACATCCATCCTACAACATGCAATATACAGTCTTCCCTGAACCTGAAGTGGCAGCAGCACTCAAGGTCCTGGGTTTCAGCTATTTTATTTTGCCTCTCATCAGGCTACTATTAGAACCAATAACAGGAAAGCCTAGAAGACATATTTCACCTTCATTAACAATCCTTCTGTCAGGGTCAGTCCAGAGTAGCAAGTCCCGGGTACCACCCAAGACATCTGATTTAAGGCGAAGAGTGATGCATTTAGAGTTGGCCAGCAATTTGACAGCTGCTAACATAACCTTTAACACGTGTATTAAAATGAATACTGAGCTGGGTCAGTCTTTCATTTCCTCTTAATACTTAAAAAGCCGTAGTTTTGTTTTCAAGTTCCCTCAAAGGCTCTAATGGGTGAATTTATTCTTCTGCTTGACTGCATTTGGAACTCTTAAATAAGAGCCACCTTGAAATTGAAACTGGGAAAATCCCAGGTCTCTGGCCAAGAGAAGAAGCAAAGGTATGTCTCCTGAGGTTTATTAAGTAATTACCTAGTTGTTGACATGTTGCAGGGGTGGGGGAGGCTGATGTGTTGGCAAGTATCAATAGGATTAGTAAGAATCTTGGGTCACCAGGCTTAGAAATGAGGTAGAATATTTTGCTGTCCCCTGGGCTTTGGCTCAGAACTGTCGACTCAAATAACCAGGCCTAGATGTGGCACATCACCATATTGACTGTCTAAAGGACCATGGGCAACTGTGATCCATCCTGAAGATACTCAGAAGTCACTGTTTGTTTGGAGCAGTCACAGCAATGACATGAAGGGAAGAAAATGGGGAGTGAGGAACAAAGGCCAGAAATAATGAGCCTCTGACACCCCATTTGCAGTTAGCTTGAATAGCAAATAAGTCAGGTTTCCTAATACAGTAAATTGAATTCTGAGCCTTTGGAAGGATGCTCTTATTTGGTGATGCTGTCCATCAGCGTCCCAAACATTGACCATTTGTGTGCCTCCTACAATTTCTTGTACAACTTCTGCGCAATGCAATTAATTCTTTGTAATGACTTTACCTTTAATATTTTTATTGTAAAAACCAGAAATTTCTCTGGCTTCTTTGTCTCCTGGATTGCATAGCTGGGTCAGCGGTGTTACCATACAGTGGGTCGTCAGGGGCAGAAACCTGAGAACATCCCAGAGTTCTCATTCTGGGCCCCTCTCCCCTGTGGTCTATTAACTTGATCTCCTGTGTACAGAGTGAACAGATAATTATGATGTAATCCAGGGCATTTTAGGGAATGAAAAGACACTTTAAATAGTCATACCCAGGGTAAATGGTCCATA